GTGCAATTGGAAAATTTAACAAAATCTGCAACAAATATGATTTCGATCCATTTATTATGAGTGTATCCTCGGCACGAAGGTGCCTAGCACTAGACTTTTTCAAATAAAATATATAAGTGAACTGCTACTACTAATATTAATGTTCTACTATAATTTAGTTTTTAACCACATTGTTATATATTACTATAGTTTAATAGTTGCGATACTTGTTTGTTTGCTCATTATAGATATAATATTGTTATAAGTGAAGACTTGTCATTGGCTCTCAGTTGTCTAGTCTATAGTTAATAAGATTATTATAGCTGTAAGTTTTCCATGTAAATAAATAAATAAATAAATAAATAAATAAATATTTTGAAAGATATTTTATACCCTTTTGATACATGTGTAAACCAGTGAATAACTTACGAGTCCGCGTGCCGGGGCGGCGGCCTGGGCTCGGCCTCGCTTCGGCACTGATCAGTCTCTCTAAGCAGCGTGTAATGATCAAACAAACATTGTGTGTAACTTAAACCTCCAAAATACACGTTCCAGTTCCAATTTACAGGATGATGACACTTTGTTAGTTATACGCATTTTGTAAACATGGTTCATGAAAGTAGAGAAAGTAATACTGACTTGTGTCGTGTCTCCTCGGTCTGTGCGTCGTGCGGCGGCGGCGTGAGATCGCGGAACTGCCAGGCAGCTGTGGACATGGCAGAGTCGAGGCCGGAGTCGCGCTCCTCCTGCGCGATTTCCCGCTCCAGCTGCACCAGGCCTGGGGGTTCCAGCCGGTAACGCGTCGCCAACCGCGCCACTTCCAAAAGGCACAGCACCACTTGCCGTGGCTGGTTGTGCAGCACTGCATACATGCACGCAACACATTAGATATCACACTTAGGGTGAACTATGCAAATTGTGGTAGAGTAACGTCTTTCAGAAAGTGTTTTGAATTATTATATTCCGATTCTAGAGCCGTAAAACAAAGAGCGCTTTACCCAGGTCATCGCTCTCGAAGAGCAGGTTCTCATGGACGCCGAGGTCGCGGCAGAAGGTGAGGAAGTTGTCGGCGTTGTCGCGGCTGAAGAAGCTGCGCCGCGCCGCGCGCTGCCAGCAGCGTCCGCGCAGCTGCGGCACTGGCTGAACAAAGCACACAGCACATATCAACACAGTTCCCTTACATAGACTACGTTAATAACAGCACTTACAGTCTGAAGTGCCGTGCATGGGAGGTGTCCTGTACGACCTTTAAATGTTCAGTTTGAGTAAATAAGATTTGTTTAAAATATTACAAAATGCTGTATTACAATAACAAATGCTAACAGTTATTACTGTGGGAGTTTGTAAAAGTCGGCGCACAACTAACAACAAAATGAAAATAAATAAAGGGACATAAACGGAATACTGGCCAATGTCCAGGTGACAGGAGCGGGCTATTTACAGCCGGCTGAAGGCATGCCACATACACGCCACATCACTATCATTTGTTTGTAATCACTCAACACAATGCGCTACTGAAAGATAATGGATTCTTGAATCATTGCTCTAATAATAGACCCGTTCGTTTACTTTCTGGAAATAGCTAAATGTTCTTGATTTGATTTGATGTAACTTACCACTAACAAGTATAAACAGAATAGAAAAATCCTAACAGAATGCTTTAGGAAGACTATCTATTAAGCATTATTCATAGTGCCGGAATCGCGGCAGATTAACTCACCCCGACAACTAGGCCCTGGTCGAGTGCCTCCCTAGCGCGCTGCTGTATGACGGCCGCCAGCTGACACAGCTCGGCGCCGTTGTCCAGCGCCTCCAGGAAGTTCTCCCCGGTCAGGTACGTTGTGCCTTAAAAACAATAGCAACATTTTCAATTAGTCTTCTAAATTACGACACGTCAGTATTTATTCGGTACATTTTCACTTATTATAGTTAGTAACAGTCATAAAACTTTAAAGAATGTAGGTTTATTTCTGCGTTACGCTTATCAGGTATATAAATGTTTGATATTTGAAACATATCGTCGGCGGAAATCGTTTAAAAACATAATACGTATTAATTTAGGCCAAAATAAGCTACGATACTTTGCATTGTTTTTTATAATCATTAAACTATGCCCGCAGCTTTATGTATATTAAAACATGTCCCGGTAACCTGTAAATCTACATTAGTTTAAATAAACTCGGACGATAATTCGTCGCACGTGTCAACTACTGGAGCACTTCATACGCATACTAAAGTATTATCACAGATCAGACAATACGTGATTATTTTTAAGAGATATCTAGTGGTTTTTATTATTTCTAGAGAAAACAAAGTCTATCGAAGATGAGGCAAATCATTAACTACTGTTTTATGGATAATATTAAATTTAGTATCTACAAGATAAAATATTGATAAACTATGCAGTGATAATGCACATATTAATTATGTGAAAAATCTGATTATTTTCTTTAATACGATACTTAATATTGAGCAAGTTAGAAGAGATAAAACAGAAGTATATTGTAGTGTATTTATATTATATTTATAGAGATATCTTGAAGTGTGCAGATAAAATTCAATGCAAACAAGAATGTGTAGTGAGGTGGGTCAGAGTCGGACATTCATCAGGCCCACGGTCTCTCAACACATCCAACACATAACATAAATCAAACGGTAAACGATAGATTTATTTGGTTGCCACTCAATTGGATTTAATCCAATAAGGATGTGGACAAGGAAAATTTTTTGTTTAGCTCAAACTGTATCTATATTTTGAAACATATACAAGTAAACCATTACTGTTTACTTGTCTCTCTTCACTTTTATTAAAGTCACTTTATCGTCCCTAAAAATGTGTACACATATCTTATTAGTCGTAAAGAACTTAAAACTTGTTAGCAAAGCACTAAGTAAGTAAATAAATCTAACTTCATAAATAAGCTTTCCAGAACAGTATATTTAAATTGGCCTAATCATCAGTGCAGCTCACCAAGTTCGCTGACCGTATATAACCGCGCACTGCACATTTGGGGTGGGCAGCGCTGCGCCCTCGCCACCACACCGTGAAATTGTACACGCACTAACGATGTTTACTGAACTAATCAAATCGATAGGCGCGGTGTTGTATGAAGCCCTCGACTCGTTTGCTCTGATAGCATTCTAATAGATTAATTTTATTTAAAACATTTTATACATTTCAACATACTTATTGAAACAAAGTATTAATTTACACATTGGTAAGTAATAAATACATTTGCAGTGTGTTTCGGAAATTAGTCGATTTATAAATATATTTTATCAGGTTTCCATTTCAGTGGTAGTAATTATTAACTAATTTGTTTCTACTATGAACAGTATTTTACTACAATAGTGAAATTAATTATTTGTCAAGGGATATAACGCTTGTGATATCCCACGAGCCGTGCTTTCGCGCCTGACCTCTGCCCTTCATCTCCTCTGATATCACTTAAAGCGACCAGTACTCACACCACAACACACCGCATTTGGACATAATTACACTCAATGAATAAACAAACAACTCCAACTAGTGATGTGCCACACAAAGTTATCGATACTCTATTTTAGAATTAAATACCTGAATCTTTTCTATAAATATCTCTTTCTTTACTTTTCACTCAGGATACGAAGCTTATTTTTCATTTCCTTGTATTGACAATTTTTGTCTTGATTTTCTTTTACATAACTTAGCTTATATCCATATTTGTTAAGACAGGCAGGCAATTTATTTTTGTTTAGATACAGCACAGGTGCAGTTTTTATACAATAGATGTTACGAATCGATGCAATAATATGTTATACAAATAATATATTGTTGTGACGAGAGCTGTCGATGAATTGTTACTGATTCTATATGCACAAGACAATGTACAAATATTGTAACTCATAGATTATTTGAACTAGTTTAATAAGATTTACAAATGAAGTAAATCGTTTTGAATTATCGATGACGGTTAAATATTACGAAATCTTTCGACCTTCTTGAGCATTAACTTATGCACCCTTGTAATTAAAGTAGAGTCTTTGTGTCTGCCAGGCTGTGCCGCGCTCACTGCGCTGGTGGTCCCGCGAGCGGTCAGCCTTCGCAACAGCAACCAGTTCGGGATATTTTCATGAGAGGCCACAAGTTGTTAAACGTGCTCTGCATCATTTATTTTGCGAATCAATTTTATATACAAAACTGAAGTTTTATATAACATATGTATGTATATCTTTAAGTTCATATGAGAATAGAGGGACTCTTAATCAATGTGTGAATAATATTTGCATTTTTAATATGTACACGGTACGGTTGTCGGGAGGATAACGGTTTGTTTAAATGAAAAGGCTTGTGTACGTGTCAATACGTCCCCAGTGTCCGAGAGGGGAGAGGGGAGAGGGGCAGGCTTTGTTTACGAATTATAATAAAACTTAAGCCCGCCGCGAGACTTGTGGTGCAAGATAAAAAATATAGCGTTATAATAGTTTTGAAATTTAACTATTACTACGACATTAATCGATAAGAAATTAAAAGTCAGAACAATAAATGTAGATGTACGCTTTAAGTTCTGATTTCTAGTATCATTTTTAACCATTGCAGTCATTTTCAATATTGTTTGTAAAAAAAACTCGCGACCGCTTGCTCTTTGTACAGTAGTAACATTAGATATTCATAATGCAAAGAGCAGCGGTAGTGTAGCTGTACCGGCGGCCGGTGTAGCAGTCAACGAAGCCCGCCGAGGCCTGAGGTGGACCCGCTGACTCAGCGCACCAAAGCTGGACAACTGACCGCCACGAGACGTGCCGATTGCTTGCATACTATTCATTGTTTTATGAAGTATAAAGGTTTATAACTGTTTAGTCTAAAATAACAGTTAACTGATCCACTCATAGTTGTTAAGTGTTAGATTTAGTATGAATTTAAATGTTATTAAATGGTAACTAAACTGAATAACAGTAGACACGCTATTTGCCCGTCTCCGTATTTTAATAGAGAAAATAATGTATTTATCTGCAATTGTGACATTTATTGTGATATGCATTAGATATGTTTTGGAACGGCAGGAGTAAGAGCAATGTAGAAGAGAGACGTATATTTGCGCGGGAGACGGCAGGGTAATGCCGTTGTCGTGACAGAGTTTTGTGCGCTGCACTTTCCTTAGTAGATATTATACGATTGGTAGTTACATTAATATTATATGTTTCTTTGATGTAATGTATTTATGTCGCTGTTACACAAATATTTGCTGTAGAAATCCGCCTGACTATTTTCAGCAACTGTTGGTAAATTATCATATTGTTATATTTAAGAATTATTATAAAATCTATCTCAGCGATAATGAACAAAAGAATCATGCATTTTACCGAAAATAATTTTAATTTAAAAAAATTGAGAATCGTATCAAGTTCCTAATTTTTGTGCGAACCTGTTCTCACCAGGTGGGGCATGAGACGCCATGTGGTCGATAAAACGGCTAATTGTCAAGATTTCTTCCAGGAAGATAATTCATATAGTAACGAGCATAAAGTAACGTGGGAAGGTGCGGATTTTAACATATGTTATATTGCGGATATGTTTGTAATTGACAACCTAGTAAATCCTTAACTACGTCGAAGTAATCCCTACATCTAGGCTAACAATATATTAATGATAACATTTGTGTAAATTTAGTATGGATCAGCTTAATGAATAGTGACTGAACGTGACCGAGTTTAGGCGCCGGCGCTTGCGACACTATGCCTACGCGTACTATGATTTTGTAATAACACGGAAAGTCTACGAATTATTTTACAACAAAGAAACATTCATCTACTTTAAAAATCATAATATTATTCCTATTTCGTATTATGGTTACCCTTTACTGCAAAAGAGGGAATTCGGTTTATTTATATGCGAATATTTTTTTGTATTTCTATAACAAATTCAACATTCTATAGAAGGCTTTATAATTTTTCAACTATAGATAAAATTGTATGGTACAAAGTCAGGTCAGTATAATGTCTCAATTAAAGTCAATGGAAAATTAAGTCGGTATGGTGACCCTAGCCGCTCCGGTGTGGCCCTGCGGCCGGGCTGGCTGACTCGCTGACTGGCTGACTGTCTGCACAAAGGTTGTATTTACCAATTATCCGCGTCACACCACACGTGCGTTGTTGTTGCCTTGTGTAACAATCGTGTGGGCGTCGCTCGGGAATTCATCGTGCACATTAACCAGCTCTGACAGACAGCTAGAGACGCCGGACATACAAATCAGCGGTCTTATAATAATGTTAGATTTACTGCTCTATTATCTACACGTGAAGATCCACTTTTTGTCACCTATTTAACTAATACGCTAGTTCTTCAACACGAATTTTATTTTTGAGTGAAATGAAATTGTTATTTTTTTTTCTGATTATATTTTTTTACGTTAAATAAATAAAGAATAACAACTTTAATAAAAACTTTAGTGCTTTGATAAAATCAGTTCGCTTATTCCATCGTTACATTTATTTTACCTTCCACATAATTTCAAGCGATAAGATTCGTTTTTTATTGAAAAGGGTTTTATAGTATACTTATCGTAGTTAGCGAAAGTTTGTGTCCTTTTGTCGATTTTATTTTTAAAAGATGTTTATAAAACAAGGTTAAAGCTGGAAAGTTATTACTTTGAACATGTTTATTATTTGAACGTATTCAAGAATTTAACAACAATATAATAATCCGATTATTTATTAATACTTTTAAACGACAGATAACTAATATTTCTAACATTTTCAATATAATAGAAAAAGAAATGACTGATGCTGGTGATATCGACTCATTTCTAATAAATTTTAATAGATTTATGACCAAAACTTAATAACAAAATTAAATGAGTACGTATTAGTTGATGAGTAACAGCTAACACGTTGCGGTAACACATTACATATAACTACATAAAATGAGTTCTTTGAATGATATTTTAATTACAAAATGTGTTAAATTAATATAAAATAAAGGTGTGGAAAAGTAATTAGACTTCTAGGAATATCATGACTTTGACGTAATTATTAAGTGCACACTTAGGTGTGTTTTATACCTAGAAATAGTACTAAAGATTGGAATTTAAATGGAGAAGTACAGCAAGTTAGTTTTGCTCGTTAATTAATAAAGCTTGTTTGACTCGGAGCCGCTGTATTGAGAGTTTGAGAACATTCATGAGATGTGGATGTGGGTCGTCCTGGTCGCCGCAATGCGTCGCTTGCATTCTGTACATCTTTGACCTTGTTTTTAAGTTGACCGCTAAATATAATTCGATTCACTCTAAAGCATTACCAAATATACTATTTGTTTAGTATATCAATTGGGATGCTGAATTTGAGGAGAGATGAACACTGGACGGTTATTGTATAATAATAAAGTTAGAATTGTAGTGATGCTCTAGTTTCTAATACAAAATGTAAATAATCAAACTCACCGATAGTCTTATTAATCCAGTCAGCGAGGTCCTCCTGCAGCGGGAAGAGCTGCCTCGCCTGCGAGTACAGGATCTTCTCTCTGTAGTAGTCCTCATCTGCTGCGGAGGGAGTCTGCGCTGCCAGCGCGCAGTCGGCGCGTTCATAGCTGCTGCTCACACGCCGCACCATCGCCTCAGCCCGTCCCGCACCCCGCTCTTCCACCACCTCCGTCCCACCCTCAAAAGTACTGCGCACGTACTCGAACGCGTTGGTTCGTTCGAACGCGTTGAAGATTCTGTCGAAGTTCCCGCTGAGCGGGCGCTCGAAGGTGTTCTGGTCGGTGGGCGACGTCACCGACCAGGAGGCACGGCTGCCGATGGCCGTCGGCCCGCAGCGGTAGTACGCCATGCCCGAGCCGGCCAAGCGATCTGTAACACGACACTCTGGTCACTACCTGTCCAATACATTGTAATGTCTCTAGTTACGTAATTGAGGGCATCAGTGTAATGAGCTCGGTAATTAGTGGCTTCATTGTTCAGGGATGCTCATTTCAACTTAGCTTTTTAAAAGGTATTTGAAAAATAAAATTGTCAAAGTATTTTGCATTATTTACATAAAAATTAAGTGTCCAACCAATAACTCTGTTCATTATCGAACTGTTGGCTCACCATTTAAGTAAGTCTTGTTAAAATTAAAGCGGCATTATTTATGCGTCATCTGTTTAAAAGTAAAGTCTATGGGGCCGACCTTCGTGGCGACATGTGAGGCCCTTCCCAAGATAAATGGGCGCAGTCACTATCTACGCATCAATTCCCTTCGGGCAGAGTATGTACTCGTATGTAAAATTGTTAAGAGCATTTACGGGGACACTGTTGCGCTCCACTTGCCCTTTAATTCTTAACTTTCGAGACGTAATTTGCATGCAAGAGACGATGTGTTCCTTCCTTCCGAACGCAATACTTCGAAGGTTGTTTTACATTATAATTATAATACAAAAGCGACGCGGATTTTGAACATCGACAATGTTCGTGGCGCAATTAAGTTTTTACAAAAGGCATTTATTACGTGTGCTTGTAGCACATAAGGCATCATCGCTATCGGAAATCAGTTTTTTGTTAAGTCATACCTACTCATATAATTATCATTCGTCTCTTTAACATATTCACTTTAGCCGAGTCATGTTCATGTACCTACATATTTAATTACGCCTATATTTTTTTTTACTTTTAAGCCAGACTTAATGATAAAGTTCCAGTTGAATATCCAGTCATACATTAAGTCCTTCTAGTGGCATTCTTAGCCACGATTAAGTCACACATGATACAACACAATCTAAAACAATTCCAACATTACATAAGGCGAGGCCACACGTGTTGCGGCTGCGACTTTCTCCGCAGATGTGCGGGTTCGATGTCGCTTTCCTCCCGTTGTCGCGTTGTGGCGTGTGGGGAATATTTTATGTTAGAAATCATGTGGTACTTGTGCAATACGGATTATCGTTATTACGCTCCAACTGGATCCCGCTTAGTGAGAAACAAAGTACGACCACGTTTTATCAAAGTACAACATTTTTTGTTTGAATGAAAGACAAGTTACATTTAGAATAAAATGTGTAGGACGCGCACTTTATGAGCCAAGAATTAATAAAATGGCTAGTTATATTATGCCTTTCCAGTATGCTTGCAGAATCTGATTGTAAAGTAAACAAAAGATATTTTCCTACTGCCGCCATCCGGGCTCCTTTCATATCCACTTATGGACGTAAAACAACTTTAGTAGATCACGCGTGGAGACGAAGCCTTGAACTGGCGCAGGATGAGTGCGGGGCGGCGACATCAAACATCCCGTGCGGCACTCTATGCGGCGGCGGCTTTGTGCCTCTCGTGCGAAGTTCGCGAGTGGGAGACAATCGCGTACGCGCAAGATTCTTATCGCGATTCGTGATTATGTAAAATACAAGCTTTGGTATGTAGTTAGATATACATGTAAAAGTTTTTCCTGAAACCAGCAATAGTTTCAAAATGCATAAAGTCTTAGGTCCACAACAAAATCATATCATGAGATTAATTTTTTGGTCAAACTCCTCGTTCTGATGCCTCAATAATAGTAATTTATTGAAAGAATATCAATCAATTGCCAATTTTATTGTTAGTAACATAAATACATGAATAATTTATGGCTTTTTTCCCTAATTCTTACTTGAATGTCTCAAATATTGCATGCTCAAGCAACTTACTTTGCATCGCGTGTCTTTCAGTGCCTTGAACTAGCGAAGTGGATAAAAAACATGGTGGGACGAGCCGGCACCGCATAGCCCACTGTCGTCATATCGGATCGTTCGGAACGAACGTTATTCGACGTTTTCCCTTTTAACGAATATTACAATGCATTTGTAAGTTTTCAAATAACTTCCATAGGGTGGGGAGAAAACTAATTTATGTGGAAGCACCACGCGATGGAAAAATGCACAACGTTTCGTTCAGAAACTAGTTCACGATAAGCGATTTTTTTTCATTCCCGCTCTTCTCATAAACGTTTAGTTCAAATCTATAGTATTTTATTTTTATCACACTCGCGTATTTTATGAACATAGAACAGTAGTTTGGACTCTCGATTACGTCTCGTCACTAACCCGCTCTAGTTTAAGTCTCGATAAAATAGTTATTGTCCAGTTTTCCTCAGTACAATACTGAAGGGAGTTCTCTACGTGTGGGGTCGCAGGAGAGCGTTGCTCCCTCAGCTGCTCGGTGCTAGACTCTTTAATTGGATAATTGCATTCCAGCCAGCGCCGCGTGCCGCCGCTGTAGCTCACTCTAACAATAAATCCTTGTTTATCAGCACATCACGTCGCGTGCCACATTGTTAGCGGATATGTCACCTTCTTATAAGTGTCCACTTGATAATGTGGACAAAGTTTTAGCCCACAGGAATGCCGCCACTTTAATTTTATTATGACTAAAACTATAATTATTTGTAAACACCGTTGTGTCTTGTTTTTTTAAAACTGGCTAACCATTGCCTCACATCAATCAATAATAGGAGTAAGAAGTAGAATTGTTATTATCTTACGCAATTATTTTAAAAATGTTGCAATGCATTGTAGGTGCCAATCCTATGTTGGTGACGTCAGCAACACCAACTCCTGACCTGCGGACACAAGTCACAGGACAACAGGAGCTAAAATCAATTGACAGCAACAAGAGAACGGCCGCCGCAATCGCCGACAACAACCTTAATAGATGAGTGGCCAATTACTGTGTTGTTGACCCGGGAACCGGTCACTCGATTGTTAACTATTTATGTTAACTTCGATGAATCATGTTGCGGCTTCGGCTCTCAATAGGTTATAAACACGGGTTATTTTCAACTCTGACCACCCGCAAGTTACCTCGTGTTGCGAGAAACTGCGTTTCCCAAGGCAGGAAGCCGCAGCCCGCACACCTCTGGCCGGCCTGTTTACGGCCACCGCAAACCACTTCGCTTTCCTTTCCTCTCTCACATTTCGTTACGTTTGTTTAGAGGCACGGAAATAGCTACACGGATATTGTTACTACTTAGTTACCGGATAAGGTGACTTTATTTAAGAATTCTGTAAAATGTCAATTAACTTGAATCCTGCCCAAAAGAAGGATTGGGATTAACAATATGGCGAGTAGGCAAGTGTGGTGTACTAGGCCTGCCTCAACGTAAACGTGTTGAAACTCGGTCTCTGTAAATATTAAGAATAACAAAAGCAAAGCTTTCGTTTCTGGTTACAGTCGCGTCGCGCGCTTCCGTGGAAAAAATCTGATACGAGCGTAAAGTGTAAACACACGGTGACATACTTTTATATGCAGCCGATGTGGACTTTAAAATCAAATTGATAGTTGTTAGTTTCCCTTGACCAGATGTTCTACGTAGTGTGTTCTATTTACAATACTACACTGGAACAAAGTGTGGTGCAAGTTATGAGCGAGAAGTCGGTCGTTGTTGTCTTTGAATGGAATGTACGAATTTATTTATTATGCGTTATTAAAATTACAATTTTATAAAGTGCTAAATAAGTAAAAGCGACTTATAAATTTCTGCTAACTTTTTCACTACAAAAATGATTGATTAAAATGAATAGCCAAATACAAGTTAAAGCATGTAACTTTTGTTGCAATGTAGTAATGATTTTGATTAGTATATATTTGTTATTGATCTCCTGTGACTTGTGGCGTGGTGTGGGGGTGGGGGCGGGGCGGAAGACGCGCCCTGCTGCCGCGTCGTGTTCATTGAGCCGGCCAGCGCACTCAATGGTGTAACGCGCTACGCACCTTTCGATATTGTATCCCGATGAATTATTGATTAAAGGCTTCCTTATAAAATACTAGGTTTTAGCCGCGATTTCGTCTGCGCGGAATTAAAAAAATATAACTTATGTTATTCCGTGATAATGTAGCTTAATAGAAAGAAGGAAAGAAATTCATTTATTCAAAAGAAAAGGAAAACGTTTTTTTTTTCAATGAGCCGTAAAATATGAGAATAGTAAAGAACATAAAAGAAAAACTTACTTAAAGAAGAACATACAAGAATAAGTAAAACGTATGGCATAAGCATTTTTTATAATAAATAGGTCCAATAGTTAAGTTACATGGTTCAATTTGAGAATGCATGTATTATTTCCACACAGTCACATCAAATCTCAGTATAGCAGACAGATAATCCTGTGTTCAGTCAATGACGTAGTGAGTTCATTGTCACGTCGGCGTCGCATCAGACCTGTTCCGCTGAGCAGCGCTGCAGACCTGTTCTTCTGAATGGATCTGCGTGGGCCACTAACTGTCGATCTGCAAGCACTCGTTCATATCTACTGCCTCTTTGTAATAGAAATATAGTTGTCCCAGCATAAAGGTTAACTAGAAATTAACGGCGCTGCGCCCAATCAAGTTATGGCTACTTAATCCTTTGTCAAAAGACCAATGTGTGTAGAATTTCTATTTTATTTCTATATATATTTGTATATATTAACACATTAAATTATGGAGCTTTACTCAATTAAGTTTCTTTTTACCAGATCCATTTCAAATTTGCTGTTTTTCATGGCATCACAATCATGTTCAAACACTTCAGTAATTTTAAACCGTAAGTTTTAGTTTTAATAAAATATAATTCATCATTTATATTGACTTATAAAGTAACTGCTATTAAATAAGCATAAAGTGGAACATTTGTGCCGTAAAATTATTATTTACG